GTTTAAACTTCCAGCAGTAGGTTGTTGTTTAGTTCAGGTGAGGCTGCAGGGAAGGGAGGGGCCTAGTGTTTGTTGTTAGCACCACGGCTGGAAGTAGAGCTAAAGAAGAGCCAAATGGAAAGGAAACGCTTTATATGGATTTTTACACAAATGAGGATCTTCACTTTTTTTTTTTTTTTTTTTTTTGATTCTATCATATTATCCTTTTAGAAATCTTGCTGTGTTCCAATATTATCTATGCTACAGTAAGACTTTTATGGTTTAGAGAATGCATAAGTGATAATCTTACAAAATCTTTTTTGCATTTTTAATCATTTAAATACTAGCTTACCTTTTGTGAAAACCTTTTCATTTTTGTGGTAATAATCTCCTAAGCTTATCAACATAATTTTCTGTTTTTTGGTTATATGTTATATGGATCTGTTGGTTCTCCCTGGGTGGCGTCACTACTTCTGTGCTTATGTCTACAGGCTCTTTCACTCTTGGTAACTACATCTGATAATAAATGATTGACTTTCTAAAGGACACGTTTTAAAATTATAATTTGACTATTTTCATGAGGGATCGTAGGATGAAATTTGTTTGCCCCCTTTCTCTTTGTCTTCCAAATCACTTAGAAACGTCATGAGTTTTAGCTTTACCAAACTTTATTCGAGGAAGCGGCAGATTTCAGTATCGGTTACTGAAGATTTAGACAAATGACTTTATCCTTAAAGACAGAGACGCTTTAAAGGCGAAGCTCTGATAGTTACAGTCTCATCAATTGTAGGATTTTTTTTTAAAAACTGGTGCTTGTTTTGTTTTTAAAAAAAGAAACGTATGATAAGGTTGAGTATATTCTCTAAAATCTCTTTATTTTTCTTTCGGTTTACAGGTCCATCACAGAATCCAGTCGCTCTGCAGCAGCCGCCAGGGTTGGGATATGGCATGAACCATCAGCCAGCCTATCATCCAATGCAGGCCAAAGGTCCTGTACCCCCTGGTCCTGGCATTCACACCTTTGGACAGTATCAGCCCACTCCCCCTGTTAGTTCTTATCAGCCTGGCCCACAGCTCAGTTCCTATCCCTCTGCTCCAGGACAGCCAATGTTGTCTAGGCCTCAAATGGGAGGTCACCCACCCAACACCCCTCCTCAGTCTGCCAGCCCTGTTCCCAGGTTTCCTCCGGCACAGGCAACACCACCTCCTCCTTCTACCAGCTACTACTCAAACCCTCCACAGCCAGTGGCTCCTGCATGGCAGTATAATGCAGCTCCTCCAGCCATGGGGCCAGCCTCCCCTCTGAGCACACCTCCCAGGGGCCCTGTTCCCAATCATGTGAATCCAGCTGCAAGCTTGGCTGCACCGTTGCCACCGGCGTCGGCTCCTTTCAGCTCTGCCCCACCGCCCCACTTGTCCCATAGTGCCGCCCAGCCCTCAGGTCCAGGAGCCCCCCCCACTTCTATACACGGATACCCTCAGCCAGGTAGGAACAAAAAGCTCTCCATTAAATCCAGCTGATCTGTCGTTCCATCCAAGCTTTCACCTGGTTACATGTTTAACTCAAAGCAATTTCTGCATGCCCTCAAAACAACAAATTCCAGCTCACAGATAAGCATGAAGTTATGAAATAAGTCTGTTATATCACTAAAAGCAAATTATCAGCTGCTGTAAAATCAAACCAGTGAGCTCATGAGTAATTATTGATGGATAATCACAATAGTTTTCTATAAAATAAAGTTCTATATTATCTGCTTCACTGATGCACTTCGCAACCTCGGCATCATGAATACAATGATGACTTGGCTCTTAAATTACTTCCATTCACCTCCATGTGCTGAAGATATCCATATCTGCAGTCCTGTTACGTTGGAGCTGGACGTTGGACCCCTGCTCCAACATCCAACATGTTGGCTGGCTGCTGTCATCTCCTCTGGCTCCTTTCCAGTCACACACTTCCATTTATTCTCTCTGTTCAAAGTTACTGTTGGACATTTGTTCTTTCCAACCTGATCTTTGAAAATACGTCTCATATAAAAAAAAAACCCAAAAGGACAAGTTTTAATTTTCAGCTTCTGCTCCATATAATCATGATAAATGTTTTATAGTGCTGACATTGAAAAGGGTTAGAAAATAGGAAATTAGGAACCAAAAAAATAAATTATTGTTTTATTGGTAGTGAGTCATAACATGACGTGCATAATATGTAAGTTTGAGACATTATTTTTGCCCACATAAATAAAAAGCTTTATGAAGAACTTTGACGTAGTTATTAATGCTGCACTGCATGGAAACGTCCCAAAGTGTATCTTTAATCGGATTAGTCTTTAATTGATTAATTGATTATTGAAGTAATTTATTAATCGTTAACTTGAGTGTAGAGAAAACATGCCTTTAGCTGACAGAGCAACGCACTTAGAGCAGTAATCATACCAAAATTGTAAACGTGTGAACATTTTGCATTTAAGATGTCTGTCAATATGCTCTATCCAGACCTCAAGTGGAAATGTATTTTCCCTTGGTTTAATTTAGCAAAAAGTATTCTTTGAGAAACCTTTTGCCATATGATTATTAGTCAATTAATCAAAAAATAATCAACAGATTCATTGATTTGCAAAATAATCTTTAGTTACAGCTCATGTATCGTAATAACTTGGTGGCTGAAATATCTGCATCCTTTAAACTCCTGCAGAGTTGTGAGGATAGAGGGACTCACTCCTATTAAGCTGATATAGCAATAAATACGTCAGTCCACCTGCTCCTGTGCCTCCTGATATAGACATGTTTAACAAACACGCTGCTCATAACTTACAAGTAACAATTGTTTGAGAAATATGGTATTCCTTTACAGCAAAAACTGGCCGAAAGCCCAGCCACAGTGCTTTAAAATGTATCACTTTGCCAACCTGGGTAAATTTTTTATTTTCATGTGATCTGATTTAAGTTGATAAAGTGTTTTGCCTGTTTTATGTGTCTAATTAAAAGAAAATAGTGTGCTTTTAATTAGGAGGATTATTAATATGGTTATACTGCCCCAACTCTGCTTCATTCCAGTATTTTGCAGTCTGAATATTTCCTTTCATTTAATTCTTCTTTGGATGCCATTCACAGAATAAGCTGTAGTTTTATGCAGCTGAAAAGGGTCTCGTTAAACCCTATCATCTGGGGTTGATATTATTTGACGTTCAAGTCTTGAAGGTGGTTGGATGGAGTTCTTGCTGTTCTGACATTATTTCATTGTGGATTAGTTGTGCCGTCAGCTGCTGTCACCTCCTCTCACAGCCTCTATAGTTACCTCACCCCTAAGGTCTCATATCTGTCTTGAACATAGTACAGATGCACACTGGAGATAGAGATGAATTCTCTCTGATGTACAATCACTAAAATAGGTTATGTTTAACAATTATTTATATGTTGATGAATACCAGTCATGTTTTTTTTTTCTAAATAAACAAAATACCTTAGTTGTAAAGAATAAGCCCTTGAATATTCTCCTTTTTATCAGGCTCTGCTCCTCCACCAATGAACCCGCTGGCCCCGCACACATACCAGCCTAACAGACCTGCATATGGTCCTCCACCAACAGGACCCCCACCGGCCATGAAAGCCACGCCACCCCCCACTGGACCCCCAGTAACCAGTGGCACGCCTCCTCCTCCCAAAGCAGATGGTAGGTTTTGTATTATATATATTTATTTATATATATATTTTTTTTAATCTGACTGTTTTATTTGATAATACTGTGAGATACTCTACCTGTTGGAGGCTGTAAAAGACTCCATGTTGGTGTGGACTTCACTGTCTAGTAGGACAGTGATAAACGTTAAGCCAAAGCTACAGTGGGAGGGTTTAGATCAATACATGTAAATAAACTAGCTTTCTTTCAACCACTGTCCTCAAAACAGGTCTTTTGTATTGTCTTATTTGGTTTTCTTTATTAAAATTAGTAATTTCTTTTGGGAGAGCTACTGATGCTTCAGTTTTCATTTCACTGTAGGCTGACAGGAAAGGGTGTATGAGAGAGAGGGAGAGACATGCGGGAAAGGACCACAGGTCAGATTCAAACCTGGGTAGGCCGTGTCGAGCACTAAGACCTCCATACATGGGTCGTGTGTGCTAACCACTGCCTCATCGAAGCACGCCCATCAATACTTTAGTTTAAAAATAAAATAACAAATTTAAAATCTCTATTAATCATTTTAAAACACAAATTTAAATGTACTTTAGTAACCCTAAGGCAGAGAAATAAATATTCGCTTCTAATCATAATAGCAGGTAGTCAAACTACTTAATATAGCAACAAGCTAGTCCTTGAATTTCTTTGTCTTGCTTTAAAAGGTACCACCAGTTTACTTTTGTTTGCTTCAGCATTACACGTTCCTGAAAGTTCTCCATCTCTTTTGAGTTAAAGCTAAAGTTTTATTGATTCAAACTTTAAAGACATGGCTCAGAAAGATCTGTTCAAAAGAAAAGTTATCGACACAGGGGGGTAAACAAAGGAGTTTTAGGTGGATTTGTTTTTAGTTACTTTATTAAATATATAAAAACAACCCTCAAATGAAGAGTGCAAAACCTTTAAAAATAGTGTTGTCATAGCATGAAGTAAGAAATGCTTTTAGATATTTTTAAGGATTGCTTATATTTAGGTTTCAAAAATACCAAAATCTGGTCTTATTGGTTAATATGGTTCAGGTAGCCACAGTTGAACATGTGCCAGAGTTTTGGAGCCATAGCCTTTAAGATTCATGTTACAGTTGCCCATTCATTTTAGAATTGGTCGCTTAAAATGCAAGCCTAAATCCAATAATGAATCTGCAGTAAGTAGTTTTAAGATATTTTGTAAAGATGAGTGTTTTAGTCTTAGGCAGAAAGACGACCCAAAAGTCTGGCAGCTTTAATTGATAATTGAAATAAATCAAATGCATTACATACACATTTTAGGGTTTCATTTTGATCAGCTCTAATTTTCTATACATTTAACATATATATGCTATAACTTACATATTCACCCAATAAAGACACAGCTGCTGCCTGCATGAGATCAGCCTATCTAGCTAATCCATTTCCAGGACATTTTATGATCCACAGAAAAGATCATGTGCAGAAACCAGCACTCACACTCTTTTATTCATCCACTCTATTTACGCATACTCTTTTATTTATCCACTATGCGAATCATCTGCAACACAGGATCACAAAGTCTTAGAAAGGGGGGGGGGGTTTGGTAAGAGGAGCGTGAGAGGCTCTGAGTTTTTCAAACAGTTCCCCAACAACATTATAAAAAGGTCATATGTTTTGGATTTCTGAATCCATTCATGTCATGAAGAGCCTGTCCTGTTTGCTCTGTGACACGAAGCATCAACCACAGCAGCAAGCAGGTGCATCTTCAGATTACACACTGATCACAAACTGCTGACTGCTTTTATACCTGTTGACTGTCGTCAATATGATGACTGGTAAATTATTTAGGTTGGAAATTGATATTTTTGTGGGATTTTTTTGTTGTTTTTTTTATTCTAAGGAACATTAATTATAATTTATCCTAAAGAACAAAAATGTATTGTTTGACTAATTATTACTGAGCTTATTCTATTGTAGTTATGTTTTGGGAGGATTTGGGAATGAAGATGCAGCTGAACAGAGGATTTAGTTTTTTTGCTTGAGGGTCTAAGCCCACATCGATGAAGTTGCATAATGTCATAAGTATCTGCACATATTTAATCTGACATTGTGCCAAAGAAGCATAATTCCACGTCGTATAGTGTGTCACGCAGTAATTCTACCAGACCTCTTGAATCCCACAGTGTGGGAAGAGCTCAAGAAATCCATCTTTGTTCTGATGTTCCCTCTTCTGTTTCCCCCTCTCTTCGTCTCATTCTCATCCTTGCCAGCTCAGTGCTGGGACGCTGGCAACAGCGCTCTTTCTCCCACTGAGCCCGACTTCCAGGAAGGAGATGTTGAATGTCCAGGTGTGGCCAACTTATCAACTGTCATTTACCCGTTTAAAGTTCTGTCAGTGCTGTGCTAAAGATCCCGCCTCTTTATGTGGTGTTTTTCAGCGATCCTCTTCTTTCATCCATTATCCTGTTGGTTAACCTTTAGGCAGAGCTCATAATTGCATATTGTTTTGTTTGTCCCCTGAGTCTTTTCTGTAATTCCACTGTTTTGGACTTCCAGTGTCTCTCTTTGAATAAACACATATAGACCAGCTGGTTTCCATAGTTTTCAAGGTCATTGTCATTACTTTATTCAAGTAGCCCTCTTGTGTCCACATGCAGCTTTCATTGCTTCTTGTTTCCTTACTGGATTATCAATATCAACGTTTCTAACAGATCAAATTACAATTTTTTTTTTCTTATAGGAAATGTGGCAGGGAATGGCCCACAGGCACCAAACAGCTATAATCAGGTTGACAACAGAATGGGTAAGGCTTTTTCTGCCAGATGGATTTCTGTTGTATAAACAACATTCACTTTTAGGCTTTATAAAGTTTGTAACGTGTTTAACGTGTTTTACGTGTAAAAGGGCCTTTTCTATTCACCTGCTTTTGAAACCAAATGATCATTACTGTTAATAAATGCTTCTAATAAAGAGCAGCTATTACACAGCTTCTCCAAAGGCAGCCAGTCATTTCTATAGGTGAGCTGCCACACTGCATTAATGGGCAGATTTACGTTGTCTTATCAGTTTCCTCAGTGTTGTTTGTTTCCACTGTTCTTCAGAATGATTGAGTTCTGAAATAAACATTTTGCTCCTTTTAGCTGGTCCGACTCAGCCTGGCCCACCTGGTCGACACTTGGGTCACTACCCCTCCCTCCCTCCTGGGTACCAGAACACCTCAGCTCCCCCTGGCGCCTCCGGCTTTCATCCGTCAGTTCAAGCTGCCCAGCAGCCTTATACTCAAGGACCTCAGCCATACCAACAGGTAAGAGAATACAGACAATCCCACCTCCATAAGCATAATATTTAATCATAAATGCTTTTGCTGATTTATATATCCTTAAATAAAGAAACAGATTTTATTAGGGAGGCTCAATATATCGATATATATTGATATGGGTTTCAGTAAGTAAAACAAATGATGATCGCTAAGGAAGCAGAGCGATAGATTGTAGGAGCATGCAGACAGCAGACCAGTGTGAGGAGATAAGGAAGCTCAAGAGGAGAGCTGAGGAGCACAGCGGGAGTTTGGATAAGTCCACCAGGGAAAGGGTGCCATGGAGAGGAGATGCTACAGCTGACCAGGGCTAAGTAGGCTAACTGCGGTGGATCTAAGGAGCACGGCGAGAGACTGAAAAAGTCAGCCGAGGAAACGGAAAGCTGAGGGTCAGAGAGAAGCTACTGCGGAGTCAGACAGCAGTACTTTGGAGAAGCCAGCCAGGGAGAATGAGGCTAGCCTAGGATAACCTTTAGAGGAAAACTGCTGGTATGACAACAGGGGAACAGAGGAGCCTTCAGGTAGAGAAGGCGACTGCTGGTATGCATCTATGCTTGACGTTTGATGATGTAACAGTCTTGGGGCTAAATTAAATTGGCTTTATTTAAAGAGGATCCTGCTTCATCCTTTGTCAAATTTGTTTTCCCTTGCTTTATTTTTGTTTAAAAAAAAAAAAAAGCTCCTCTCTGTTGCTTCCTTCACTCAAACAGTGGTCAGTTCATTATATTTTCTCATCTCCTGTAATTTTGATACCTAATAACATGATGTGGATATACATGAGACGGCATATAAAGATTTGATGGATTATGTTGTGATCTGCAATCAGCAGATTCTGATTTTTGGGATCATTTATGCACGCTCTGCTCCCCAAAATCCTGACTGGTGCATCTCTAATTATCGACCATATCAATAGCAGATATGAATATCAGCTCAGATTTTTATATTGGTGCATTCCTAGATTTTATACAGAACTAAGTTGTTAGTTTTTGTTTTTTTCCCTCTCAGCCTCCTGGTGGTCCAGGTCCAGCCCAGCTGAGCCCATCACTAGCAGCCATGAGCCTCCAGTCAAACACACCTGAGGCTCTGAGGGTGGTCAACCTTTTGCAGGATAGAAACCTGCTGCCCCCAACCCCAGTTCCTGCCCCCACACCCTGCCTCACCCAGGACCTGCAGAAACTCAACTGCAGCCCAGAGTAAGTTGTTACACTTTTGTAGTTTGGAAAAGTAAAGGAGCTACTAATCAGTTGTTTGAGTTTCCGCTGTGTTGATGCATTTAACCCGGATATTTGTGTTCCTTTCCCTCCAGGGTCTTCCGTTGTACGCTGACAAGCATCCCTCAGACTCAGTCTTTGCTCAATAAGGCTAAATTACCATTGGGTCTGCAGCTCCACCCCTTTAAAGACCTCTCGGTAACTTGTGCTGTTTGTTTAATACTAAATCTAATAATAGTTTGTTTTTAAGTGTTCATTTTTAAATTATTTTCATATACTTTGTGAAACTGTAAACTGTCATTGTTTTTACTAAACCTTTAACTGGAGCGGCTGCTGTATTGAATTACAGCAGATCCAAACCAGAGAAACCCTCACTGATTATTTCTTTCTTAACAATCACTTAATCCCTGTTTCTGTCTCCCTGCATTTTAATATCATCATGGGTTCAAGTAGAAATTGCATATTAGATTCTTGCTCAAGTCATTTTAGATTTTTAGTTTAAGCTTTGCACATGATGCAACATTAGGATTTTATGATGCAAGTTTTTTTTTTTTTTTTTATGGGAGCGGGCATGAATATTTTGAAGTAGTGGGGAGGAGGATTGTTCTGGAGGATCTTGTCTAAATAAATAAAAAGATGCAGTTACTGGGATGTATTACTATATCGGCTTCATTAAATATTTTCCTGAATCCTCTAACATCATGTTTATATGATGGATACATTATGCATCATTAGCATACAAGGAATTGGGAATGGAGAAAAGAGATACAAGAGAGTTTATTGTTAGTTTTCTTGAAGTCCTATATTCCATTTTCTTATGCATCTCATCCTCTCCTGCAGCCCCTCTCCAATAGATTTTTTCCTTTATTTTGAATTTTGGGCTTCAGCACAGGAACATCCAGGAGGGAAGCTCATAGTGATTGCCTCTTTTAGATTTTATCATTGGTTTCTTATCAGCAACCCTTTGAGAGATGTTCTTTCCTTACCTGTTAAAAAAAAGGAAAAAAAGTGTGTAGATGTGACCTTTGACCCCAGCCTTCTGTTTTCCACTGGTCAAACTCCACCTGTGCTGTAAGCACTTTGTAGGGGAGGAACAAAACCTTTAATGCTAAAATAATTGCTCTGCCTAATCACCTTTACACTTTGAAGCTTCTTTGGATGGTCTGCTTTACTAGGATAAAGGGCTGCAGACCCAATAGTCTGGAAATGATCTATATTAGTGGCAGTAAAATGAAGGAGGATCTGTCTACACATTAACACGTTATGTTCTGACTGCATCTGCACCTTATATTTGTGACTCGGAGCCCATTTAAGAAACCATCAATCCTTTAAGCTACAGATTCACATCAATAAATGTTGGGATCAAATACTATTTATGCATTCTTCAAAACTCTTGAACAATCACAGACTTCACCTCAGCTTTGGTTGACTTTCATCGTGCCTGACTAAATTGAGGAAAATAATTTACAAATTAATAAGCTGAGAGGGGGGAATTGTTTAGAGGTTTAAGTGGAGTGCTGGTCAAAAGTCGTCAATGATGGCCATTTTTTAGGCTACGCTATTTCATTAATTGACGACACTGATGTCTTATAGCTTGTGATGGAGCAAATGTCAAAGAGCTAAATTATTTTTGTTGTTTTCTGTGTTTTAATTAATGCAGCAGCTTCCTGTGGTGACATCCAGCACCATAGTCAGGTGTCGGTCGTGCAGAACCTATATCAACCCCTTTGTCTCCTTCCTGGACCAGAGGAGATGGAAGTGTAACTTGTGTTATCGAGTAAATGACGGTAAGGTGGTGAGAAGTCATGAGTGAGAACGGAACTCAAAGAGCTTCTGTCTAAAAATGCTGGAGGCCCTTTGAGCTTTTCAACATGTTAAAGCTTAGCAACCACAATGTGCTTTACAGCTCAGAAACCAATGGATAGAATGACTCAGCTCTGAATATCATTTATCTTTATTTCGGTTGTATGTACTTCTGTAGGTTTAGGAGTAAAACCAAGATGCTTTTAATTTCAACAGTTTCAACATCCTTGTTCTTAAACCTTTCATGTATGTTTGTATCTTATTTAGTCCCAGAAGAGTTTATGTATAACCCAGTCAGCAGATCCTACGGCGAACCACACAAAAGACCAGAAGTCCAGAATGCCACTATTGAGTTCATCGCTCCTTCAGAATACATGGTCAGTTTGGGTTCCTCTTTTTTTTCCTTTTACCATTTAAGCAATACTTTTAATAAGTCAGTTAGTGTTTATAGAGGACTTCTCTGAATCTAGAGGGGTTTTTTTTTGTGGTTTTTTTTCCAGTGCTGAAATGTTAAATTTGAAAAATATGGACATACTAATAAAATGTCTTATTTTCTTTAAGTAGTTATCAAAGCTTTTCTTTAAAGTATTTAAATCTCAAATGGATATGGTTAAAATTATATTTCTATGCTTGTTTTATTTTTTTCTAACTACCTAATATTTTTTCTAACTTGCTTATGTTATATAATTTTTTTTAACAGCTGAGACCACCACAGCCCGCTGTTTACCTGTTCGTCCTGGACGTTTCTCACAACGCCGTGGAGACGGGTTACCTGAACGTCTTCTGTCAGTCTATGCTGGAAAACATCAATGCGTATGTACAGGTCTAAACGCTCAGTTTTAAGCATATTTATTCAGATGGCATCAGCAGCTTCATCAGTTTGATCTACTGATGGCAATAAAAGCTTTTAAAGCCTTTGTGTGTAAGACTTGGAAACACTGTAGAGCCAAACAGCTGCCTTGTCTGAACTCTAATCTATGATTAAAAGGCCAAACACAAGTAAAATTACGTTTGTGTGCCTCAGGCTTCCTGGAGACTCGCGGACAAAGGTTGGTTTTATCACCTTCGACAGCACCATCCACTTCTACAACCTCCAGGAGGGACTTTCACAACCACAGATGCTCATTGTTTCTGACATCGAAGGTGGGAAAGAGCTGACCGCTGACCGACGCAGCTACATTTTTAAAAAAATATTTTCCAGCAATGTGACCGTTTTGTCTAAATTATAACGTTGCTCCACAGATATCTTTCTACCAACACCAGACAGCCTTCTAGTAAACCTCAATGAAAGCAAGGAGGTAAAACATTTAAACACCCAACAGTCCAAACGTATCTTTTAAAGTCAACTCAATGGCTAGAATTGTATAAAGTAGCTTTGATTACCCTGCATATATAACTTGTGGCTGACTAGTGTACTGAAGGAAGGCTTAAACTCTTCATTTTTGTTTTCCAGCTTGTGCAGGATCTACTGAAGAGCCTGCCAAATTTATTCGAGAAGACGATGGAGACCCAGTCTGCTCTGGGTGCTGCTCTGCAAGCAGCCTTTAAGTTGTTGTCTCCAACCGGAGGGCGGATGTCCGTCTTCCAGACCCAGCTCCCCAACCTGGGTGCTGGGGCCCTGCAGTCCAGAGAGGATCCCAACCAGCGAGCTTCTGCCAAGGTAGAAACTCAAATAATTAGCTTTTTTCTCTCGTAGTTCTGTAGATCTTATAGATTAGGCTCACTACTGGGGGGGGGGATTCCTGGTCCTTATTCCATCTCAGCTGATGGGCATAAGGCATCAGTGTTATGCCCTAAGGCAGGGGTGCTCAAGTCCAGTCCTCAAGAGCTACCATCCTGTATCTTTTAGATGCATCTCTTCTCTAACACACCTGAATCGAAAGGCTCGATCCCCTAATTTAACCCAGCAGAGGCAAGGTAACAAGCCACTCATTTGATTCAGGTGTGTTAAAATGGGGTGCATCAAAGGCTACGTTCACACCGCAGGCCTTGATGCTCAATTCCGATTTCTTTGTGAAATCCAAATTTTTCTTTTTTGCTCTAACGTCACAAGCCAGCGTGGTTCGTGTTTACGGAAGTAAACATAGATGTAGTGCTGGAGCGCATCTAGTGATCTTTCCAAACCTTAAAACCTCAATCTTTTCAAGACAGTTAAAAAATATACTGCTCTCCACATCATCGTCCGC